GGTGCTCGGGCCCGCACCCAGAATCTGCCGGCAGCCAATCAGAAGAATACGCGCCAGCTACCTCGCTGGCGCTATGGCCCTAACGGCCACCCGGGGGATTCCAGCCTCGCTGGGCACCTAGAAGCTGCCGGTCCGCTGCTATGTCAGATAGCGCCGTGACAATAAAAAAGATTTTAAAACTAATAATTTATATTAAAATTAACTTATAAGTACTAGTTTTTTATAGTTAAGAAACTAGTAAAAAAGTATAATTTAAGTCAACTAGAATTAGAGTAGATAATAAAACTTATCTATTTTTTTTCTTTATTACTTCTAGTTCTATTCTCTTTATCTTTCTATCTTAGTAGAAGGTTCTAAAGAATATTAGTCCTAATATAATTATATAGAGTTAAGTGCTATTACTTCTCTATACTTACTTTAGATTTAAGTAAGTAAGATAGTATAAATAGTACTATAATAGCTTATCTAATATTATATTAGAGTAGTTTACTAATATAGAAAGTAATAAAGATTTAATAACTACTAATCTATATTAAATAGACTAATAAGTACTAATCTTATTAAGTAGAATAAATAGTAAGAGAATAGAATTTAAGTAAACTATAATAAGAGTAAATAATAAAATCTATCTATTATAATATTATTATTACTTAGAGTTATTATATCTAGCTAAGCCTCTAGTATCTTTAACACCTTTAGTATCTCTTAATATTCTAGTATCTCTTAAGAATCTAGTATCTCTAACGTGCGGGATTAGTAAGCTAGGCAGATCAGTAAGCTAAGCACTCTACTAAGCTTAACGCGACGCTCTCTATAACTACTACTATACCGCGATAACAACGTTCTATATAGACTTCTCGTAAAGGTAGAATAAGTCTTACTATCGTGTCTTATTATAATAATCTAAAATAATCTATTCATGCTTTCGTAAAAGCTTTTAATATACTATAATCTACACTATATATATATATCTATAGTATCTAACTACGATTAGAAACAGCCTCTATTAACCGCAAGCTATTATCTATTAAATAATAGTCTCTTATATAGTAGATTCTAGACTTTAACTAACGTAGTTTTCTGCTCTATATTATCGACGTACAATAGATAGTAGACGCTCTACTCACTACGCGCGGCTAAGATCTACCTCTAGTACCTATTAGTAAGAAATAGATATCGCGCTTTATCTAGAGCTAGCTAGAGCTTTAGATAAAATAGACTAGATAATTATATAATTAGTATACCTTCTATAAGAATTCTATTGTAATTATAGCCTAGTTTAAGCTAGTAGAGAAGACGCGCTAGACGTACGGCGTTTTAGATTAAGATATCTATAACTTTAATAAGACTAAATTTATAATAGGCGTCGCTAGTACGTTAAAAGTCGTAACTAGCTCTAATAGAGTTAGTAGAGTAGTTATTATATAGCTAGGTAATCGTAAGTAGATAATAGCTATTAAGTACGTTAACGCGTCTAGCTAGTATCTTCTACTATTTATAATACTATCTAGTAAGATCTACTAGAGTAGCTAGTACTATAACCTTCTATAAGACTAGACTATCGTAGTATTAGATAATAGCTAGATAACTAATTAGCTTAGTATAGAGTAGATAAAGTACTTTAATTAGTATATAGCTACTTATACAGCTAGAGTCTATTAGCTACTTATTCTAGACGGCTATAGTAGCTACGCTACGCTAGAGTTTAATTAGTACTACGCTAAAAATAAGATTATTACTCTCTATATACCGCCTTATACGTTGTATCTTCTCTAGTCTCTAGATATAAGCTACTACTCTCCTCTTAAGCGTATATACGGACGCGAAGTTAAGAAGCTTATCTACTATAGAGTCTACTATATTAATAAGATAAACTTTCTTATAGCCTATATATAGATCTAGCTAATAGTTTTTATATAGTAGAATATCTAAGTAGGCTTTTAAGTAATAGAGCTTATCTCTTCTTATCTAGATCGCGTACTATCGTCGCTTACTATAGCTAAAACACTGTCTCTACTATAGATAACTATAGATAGTAATGCTGCTGCGTAGATAGAGACGCTATATATAGTAGTAGAGCTTTAGTAGTAGATACGCTATCTCTAAGAGCGGCTACGCCGCAAATTAGAGAGCCTAATAAGCGTTATAATACGCTAGCTTACTAAAAGCGCTTAGCTTATAATATAATTAGTAATAATACTTATAGAGAAGAATAAGAAGCTACGTATAGAAGTTAAGCGTTAATAGTAAAAGTAGAGTTAGTAGCGTTAATATATTACTTTTAGTAGAGTACTCTAGGTATAGTAGACTTAGTAGCTTACTATAGAGGCAGAGAGGATAGTTATAGAGGCTAGCTAGAGCTAGGCTAGTAAGCGACGTTAGCGCGCGCCGCCAACGTATATAAAGTACTATATTTAAAGGTATACTTAGACTTTATATAGAGCTATCTAAAGAATTATACCTCTTAATTTTATTTTATTTTATTACGTTATTATAGTTTAATTACACAGAGAGTCGCGTTAAGCTTAGTAGAGTGCCCAGCTTCCTAATCTATCTAGCTTACTAATCCCGCACGTTAGATATTTTATCTTAGTAAGATACTATCATATATAATTAGCACTCTTTATTTATTATTATCTTATAAGATGAATATTAATAGGTCTTCTACTATTTTATTATCTTTTAAGAAGAGAATTCCTTTTATTACTTAGAAATTTTAATCTCTTTTTAGAGTTATTATCTTAATACGTTAGTTTTCTATTTTTCTATTCTAGCTTTATAGATAATTATAGCGCTATATATATATAAAGTTTATAGGCTTAAGACTATTATAATTATCTTTTACTTACTTTATCTTTCTTAATTATATCTAGGATTAAAAAGCTCTATACTACTTATACTTTAACTTTAACTAAAAAGAAGTATACTTACGCTACGTAAATAAAAAAAAAAGAGTTTTAAAATAGATTTTTAGTAGAAGCGCTATAAGGAGAAGAAGTTTACTACTTTATAAAGATATCTTTTAGCTATTATACTAACTATATCTTAGTAAGTACTAAGTAAAGTTTATTTATTTCGAAGAAAGAGTAGAAGAAGGTTTATAAAATTATAACAAAAGACAGCTAGTAGTTACTTATCTTAAGGCGTAGTTTTCTTAATAAAAGTTAAAGCTATTAGAAGTAAATACGTTTAAGTAGTTATTTACTTATAATAATTCAATAATTCTTATTACATATAATTATCTAAAGAGTAGACTAAGAGAAACTTAGCCTTAAGAGGTATAGGCTTTTCTATTATAAAACTATTACTATTTAAATTATTAGCTAATGAAGGTTAGTAATATACTAATCTCTTAAATCTTTATTTTAATTATTCTTTTTCTTTCTTTTCTATAGGTCTTAATTATTGTCTACTAGAGTTTACTCTTAATTCTTTAGTTATCTTTAGTAAAAATTATATACTAGTAACTTATAGTTTATTAAATTTTCTTTAAATTTTAAAGAATTATAGCTCTTAGACTATTCTTACTACTTAACTAAGTACTTCTAGTAATTACTAATTTTCTATATATATTTAACTTCTTTAACTTTTAACTAATTATTTCTAAGCTCTATATCTATTACTAGCTTAGTATTTAGAGATACGAGTTCTAGAAGTTTATAATAAATAATAGAGTAGATTTGTATACTTTATAGAAGTTTTAACTTATAGTTTTACTTCTTTTATCTCTTCTATAATATTAAGTTTTAAAATTTAGAGTTTATATAAAACTCTATATATTTATTAATTTTTTAGGTCTTAATATATTAGAAAAACCTAATTTTTATTCTTAAAGATTAGTCTCTTAATCTATAGTTTATTTACTTCTTTATATATTATAAATTTCTATTAGATTATATTATTACTTAATTATTTATCTTATTCTTATATAAGCTCTACTATATTATCTACTTCTACTATAACATTTCTTATATTTTTTTTATCTTAATAAGTAACTATCCTCTATCTATAATTTATATAACATAGTAAATAAATTATTTTTATAGTTTTTATACTATTATATACTAATTATACTCTTAGTAGAAACTCTATTAAGTTATTATATAACTTATTAGTATACATCTATAAGTACTATTCTAATATCTAGGTTATTTATTTATTCTAGCTATCCATTACTAGATATAAGCTTATTAAAAGATTTATCTATATATCTAATCTTTCTAGAAATATACTATAGTTTTAAAATATAGATAGTATATTATAATTTATAATAAACTATTAAAGTATTCTATACTTTTACACTAGTATCTTAGTAACTTCATACGTTTACTTATCTACTATAATAGTCTTTTCTATAAGTATAAGGCTTACTATCTTAGTTAATTAGTCTATAATTACTTAGATTATTTAATAAAGTTAAGTTAATTCTAGTTCTAATAAACTTAAAAGCTTTATAATAAAGTCTACTATCATACTAATCTATTATCTAGATAGTAGTTAAAAGAGTTAAAATAGACTATATAGCTTATATCTCTTAAGTCTATTCTAAGAATATACTAAATAGTTATTTAAAATATTTATATTTTTGTTTATAAGCATAGTATAATAACTATCTTAGATAGTTATTTAACTATATATTAAATTTCTATATATTTATACTCTAGAGACTATAATTATTTCTCTATTAGACTTATCTTTATATATAAAGATATAAATATTAAATTTTTAAAACTATATCTTATTACTTTTATTTATTATTTAATAGTTTATCAGAGTCTACTATATTAGGCTATAACTACTAGCTAGATACTTACTACTACGATTACTAATATAACGTTTTTACCTACTTAGCTACCTTAGCTATCTTAGCTAGTTCTAGATAGTTATACTTTTAACTAGTATTAGATATTATTATAAGTAAAGTGTTATATACTTCTATATAATATATTCTACTAGTAAGTAGGCTACTCTAGTATATACAATACTCTCTTATAATATTCTTCTTTTATAATAATATATAATATCTTAATAATATAGTATAACGTAGTTTATAAGTAAGTCGGCCACCTAAGTGAGTTAGCTACTTTACACTAGCGCGTTAACTTCGTAACATTATTATAGCTATTTAACATAGCATATTAAAAATTATAATAAGCTAATTTACTCTTTAGATTTATCGCTATTACTAGTACTACTAATTTCTACTATATAAGTGCGCGCGTTATACTTAGTCTCCTTATAACGCCTATACTGCCTCTCTCCTCGCACTCTCTTTAACGCACTCTTACTATTACTATAACTACTATCTACTTATTTAGCTAATAAGCCTTATACCTTACTAGTAGTAAGAGTCTCTTCTATTTAGATATATTATCGCTTACGGCTCTTACGCTTACTTAATTTATCTAGAGCTACTTAAAGAGTACTAATTTTCTCTATTATAAGCGTTATCTTATATACTATTTACTAAGCCCTCTTACTTAACTATATAATCTACTTAATAAGTAAATTAGTAGAAGATCTATAGCGTTTTCTTACGCTCTCTTAGATAAGACTAATTTAAGACTTAACTTCGCGCGCGTTACGTAGCGTTCGCGCCTCCTAAGTAGCTGCCTATTATAGTAATAGTAATAGTGTCTACACTACTATATTAAGCTTTAATAGTATAGCCTATAGGTTATATAGAACTAGACTAGCGCCTCTAAAGCCTACCTAGATATTGTATATATTATTAATTACAAGAGTATACTTATTTTAGATATTTTTAAGCTAATCTAAAAACTTAAGAAAGTAGACGCTAGAACTAAGTTGCTTATTATTAAAGGAATAGGAGATCGCTTAATTAAGAACTTCTTTAATAGTAATTAAGGCCTAAAGATAAAATATCTTTAACTAAAAGATATAAAAGTAATTAATTAGTTTTATATTAATATTATATAAGAAGAAAATCTATATATAGCTAGAGTATAGTATTACTCTCTAGATAGTATATTAAGATTTAGATTACTAAAACACAATATAGTTATAACTATTTTAATTCTATATTATAATCTTACTTTTATTAAATATAGTAAGATTAACGCTTATTCTCTAATATTATTAATAGTAAATATATTTAAAAGATTAGCTTATCTTATTTAAAGTATTAATAAGATAGGACTATAGTATTAGAGATTAGAGTATCTAAGCTAGTAAGTACTCTAAGTGTTAGTATATACTATATAAGATATTTAGATTATTAGTATAAAGAAAATTAAATATAAATATTATATAAGAATATATACGTTATAGATAATCTTAAGATAAGTCTATAAGAGATTACTATAACTATTTTTCTATATATTATAGGATTTATTTAATATATCTATAGAAATAATATAAAAAGAATAGGTAATAATAATAAAGAAAGACTTCTTAGATAAGCTATATAATAATAATATATATAGTTGAAGATAGTAGATAAGAAAATAAGAGTAATTAAGAAGTTTATTTAAACTTTTAAAAGGAAATAAAGTATAAAGATAATTAAGATCTACTAAGATAATAATACTATAATACTTCTCTAGAGAGAGAAATTAAGATACTAAGAATAGGTAGAAGAAAAGAGAATTATAATTAAAAACCTATCTCTATATACTTATAAACTAAATAGATTAGTAGAGAGAGTAGACTAGAAGCTAATTACGAAAGCGATTAAGATACGTATAGACGTAAATCTCTCTATATATAATAGCTTAGTACCTGTTTCTATATATATCTAAATAGGATCTGAACTAGAGTATAATTCAGCCTAGTAGAAAAAACGACTATATAAATCTAACCTCTATAATAGCTTATTAGATAGATTTTTAATATCCTTTCGTATAAGGCCTATAGGTGTCTATTTAAATTAAGGCTCGTTTAATGTCCTACGCACTCCTATATACCTCTAAGTAACACTACTACTAATACTAATATAAGTAGTCTT